TCTTTGTTGTTTTTCACTGGATACAAGACATTTATAGATGAGTGTCAATCACCCTCATAAACTAATGTATTACAGTAAATTAACTGTGTGTAGGACAGTAAAATTGGAAAGACATCTACATGTACATTCAGATTCCTTTCCGTCTTGCCTCTGGTGGACCTCATTTGTTCTTTAAACTGACTGTAGATTTTTATCAGTATGTAAATGTTAATTTCACCATACACACAAACTGATGAAAAAATATTTCCACCAATAATTGCTTAAAAATAAACATCCATGTTATCAGTCAAAATAAAAAAAATAAAAACTGAATTCTGCCAAGCCTACTCATTGCACAGGTATTCATGTGTAAACTGACAGAATGCTAGCACATTAGACATGAAACAAAGGGGAAACCTGAATCCCAAAAGCTACAGTACTGCCACTTAAACAATAGGAGAAAGGAAAACATCTTATCTGTTAATTTATTCCCCTCCTCCCTATTCCCTGAAGTAACATCTCTCTCATATCCCTGGCCACACTCCCATGCCACTCCAACAAAACAGAATTCACTCAGGACAGATTATGGCCTAGCTGAACACTTGTGCAAAAATCAAACATAACATACACACATTATGAAACCCAGAATCTTCTATTGAAAATTCTTAAAAAACAATAATTGTTTTTTAGTCAAATAGATGTCTGCAACAGGGATATAATGTTTGCATCTGAAGAAGTGAGGTTTTTTTACCCACGAAAGCTTATGCCCAAATAAATCTGTTAGTCTTTAAGGTGCCACCAGACTCCTTGTCGTTTTTGCAACAGGGATATAATTCTCTATTGGAATAATTTTGTAGAATTGAAAAGAAGTTATAGAAAGAATGGATTTTTTTAAAAAATTCTATAAGAGAAGAACCAGCCATTAGCAGAACTCTTTTTATTACAAATAAGGGCCAGTATCTTTTTACTCTTCTGTGCCTAATCCTGGGCACACTTTAACTTCAGTAGCAACCCCATGTAGAGAGGCAGAACTTGGTTCTATGAGTTTACTTATTGTTACACACTTTGGGGAAGAACTCATTCGGCGATAACTGGACTGAGTGAGATGTTCTACCCCGTATCCAAAGCAGACTTATGAACTGCCTCTAACCCACACAGAGAAAGACAATCCATTAAGAGTGAACTGATAAATTGGTTACCCTATTGGGAAAAGAAATTAACAGAATAGAAATCTCTTTCACAGCTATATCTGCCAATCTGTCACTAATGGACAGCAATCAGGGTATGAACTGTGGGAAATAGTAATAAAGACGGTAAGACCACCACTAGGGAGTCAGGAGAGCATGAAGTCAGGAGAGAAATGTGACCTATGCCTCCAGCAGAAGTAACTGCTTCTCAAAGAAGAAACAAGGAACAAGCTCTTCAAGGAATGTAACCAGGCAGTACCATGATGGGCCCTCAGTTTGATATGCCCTACTCCTGAAAGATGCTGAATCTGGAGAGACTCTATGTGTTTCACACATGCACTGAAGATCTTGCAAATCCCCTCCATCAAAATTGATTTTTTTTTTTGGTCTTTTATGCTCTGCCTCACTTTATGAGGCATGTGCATCAGGCGCTGCTTTGCCTGTGAAGGAATATCCTTCTCTGATAGCTCAGGGATTTCTATCCTTTGGAAAGGACAAAGGAGATTGTATACTGGCTCCAAAGACTGGAAGTATCTGCAGTATTACACCGGGAGGAGAATTTCCACTCTGCAAGGCCAAATGGAAGGTAGGAATCTCTGAGGCCTCTACACCAAACATTTATTTTCTAAGATTTCCCACCAGCACTTGCAAAAGTGAGAGCGCTACACAAAGCACAAGCGTTTTAGCCATTGTGTCATCTAACCCTGCACACTGTGCATGTTAGATGATATGTTGGTTAAAAATTCCAGTGGCTATCATTTCTACACTACTGCTCCAACCGGTGCTATCCCTGCTGGAGTCACACCAGTGGTGACTCAGGGAGTTCTAGGACAAAAAGGCTAGCATAGACAAAATCTTTGCTCCATATGGGATAATAGCTGTAACTACAGGCAACCATCATTACCACAAGATCAAGGCAGTATTTCATAGAATTGCTTTTTCTGCCATATCATAATATTGTTCTCTTTATCTTCACGGCTTTCTTCTCCAAGTGCTTCACCTTCAGCTGTCTGCTTCCACATCAAAGCACGCACAATGTCATTCCACTGCCTGTTTCTGTTGTCTCTTACCAAACTGTAGCTCTCTAAGGCCTCGTCTACACTAGGAGGTTATATCAAATTTAGCAGCGTTAAATCGAATTAACCCTGCACCCGTTCACACAACGAAGCTATTTAGTTCGACATAAAGGTCTCTTTAAATCGATTTCAGTACTCCTCCCCGACAAGGGGAGTAGCGCTAAATTCGACATGGCCATGTCGAATTATGGTAGGTGTGGATGGAATTCAATGCTAATAGCTCCGGGAGCTATCCCACAGTGCACCACTCTGTTGACGCTCTGGACAGCAGTCCGAGCTCGGATGCTCTGACCAGCCACACAGGAAAAGCCCCGGGAAAATTTGAATTCCTTTTCCTGTCTGGCCAGTTTGAATCTCATTTCCTGTTTGGCCATCGTGGCGAGGTCAGCAGCACTGGCAACGATGCAGGGCTCTCCAGCAGAGGTGACCATGCAATCGCAGAATAGAAAGAGGGGGCTCAGCATGGACTGATCTGATCGCTGTGTGGGGCGATGAGTCCGTGCTTTCGGAGCTGCGATCCAAAAAACCTGAATGCGAAGATCTACGAGAAGATCTCCAAAGCCATGACGGAGAGAGGATACAGCAGGGATGCAATGCAGTGCTGTGTGAAAATCAAGGACCTGAGACAAGGCTACCAGAAGACCAAAGCGGCAAACGGACGCTCCGGATCCCAGTCCCAGACATGCCGTTTCTACGAGGCACTGCATTCCATTCTAGGTGCGGCCGCCACCACTACCCCGCCACTGACCGTGGACTCTGACGATGGGGTATTGTCGACGGCCGCTTCCTCAGAGATGTTTGCGGATGGGGAAGCTGAGGAAGGAGATGAGGAGGACGAGGCAGTTGACAGCGCATACAACGCTGATTTCCCCGACAGCCAGGATCTCTTCATCACCCTCACGGAGATCCCTTACCAACCCTCCCAAGGCATTAACCCTGACCCTGAATCAGGGGAAGGATCAGTCGGTAAGTGTTTTAAACATGTAAACATTTATTTTGATCAGAACAGAAATGGAATATTAACAATGGGTTTTTCATGATTACTTTGCCCTAGGCGCTTTACTTTTTAGTCCTTGCCAGTGCAGCTACTGGAAAATTCTGTCAATATGTCCAGGGATAGAGCAGAAATCCTCCTTGGACATCTCCACAAAGCTCTCCTGGAGGTAATTATAATAATAATTTATAATTTATGGAGATATCCCATCTCCTAGAACTGGAAGGGACCTTGAAAGGTCATCGAGTCCAGCCCCCTGCCTTCACTAGCAGGACCAAGTACTGATTTTGCC